TCCCGCAGAGAAGCCTGTGACCTGGCCGCATGATCCAGGAAGTATGACGCCAAAACCCGGCTTATCGTACTGTCTGGACATATATCGACGAGTGAAATAAACACTGCAAGTCGAGCACCCGGAGGGAAATGAGTAGATACTGAGATATCACTCTGATCTGGACGAAAGCGCTGACGCATTGTCTGGATCACATCCCTTAGGTCTTGCCTACCTCACTTTGACCCGAGATTCTTCTTACCCCTACCCGAAGGAGGGGGAGGAGCGCGAGTCGCGACACTAGCCTTCTGTGCTCGTCTCTGATCCTCAAACCGAGACGGGCCAAGACCCCTGGGTTGTTCGGGCTTTGACCTGAACCTTCGTGGAATTAAGGATTTGAAGGCCGCTGAGCGCACCTTCGCCTCCCTGAAGTTCTCGACCACAGTCTCAACGGAGGTACCAAAAAGTTCAGAGGGCGAAACCGGGGCATCGAGAAGAAAGCCCCTTTCTTTCCTCCCGATGTCTGCCAGGTTCACCCACAGATGCCTCTTCATCACTACCATAGCCGCCATGAATCTGCCCATAGCAGAGGCGGCCTGCTTAGTAGCACGGAGAGCGAGATCCGTGGTGCGGCGCAACTCTGCTACCTCATCAGGAGAATGGCTCTCGCCTTTATCTGTCTTTCAGCAGGTCAGCCTGGTATGCCTGGAGCACCGCCAACGTGTGCAACGAAGCGACAGCCTGACCTGCTGCTGCGTATGCCCTGCCATTCAAGCGAGATGTAATCTGAAGGGGCTTGGATGGCAAGGAGGGAGTTTTGAGAGAAGATACCTCACCCATAGAGAGATAGCTAGCTAGCGTCTCTTCTACGGGGGGCGTCCTCGCGTAGCTGTTTTCGCGCATTGCCTCGATGTTGGCATAGCTGGTATGCTGGAACCAATGGATGCGTGAGGAAAACGGCCTTTTCCATTTCTTCGCGATCTCAGTATGGAGATCAGGAAGGAAAAGAAGGCTCACCTGAGCTGGAGGACTATGGCCAGAAAGATAACGTTCATCGAGGCGACGTCACTTCCTTAGTCCGCTTCCTACGCAGGACAGGAGGATTGGGAAGGCTCGGCCTCAGCTTCTTTGCCCTCCTCAGACATTTCCTGCTCTTCCTGGGCTGAACCCAGCAGAGCACTGGCCCCTGGATCAGAAGATGTTAAAGAAATAACATCATCCTCCAGCGGCTCATTCTCATCCACAGTCGACGAGCGCGAGAGGGAAAGCCCCACTTTAAACTCATCGGCCAGGTCCACCTGCGATCCCCACAAGCTCATTCTCCTCCGTGCCTCAGCAGCAGCGGATCCTGAACTGTGGGAAGCAGATGGCTGCCCCGCTTTACTCGAAAAAAGAGACAAACAAGAACGGAGCTTTTTCATTGAAAAACGCTCGCAGTGCACGCAGATTGCCCCCTCGAGGACATTGTGTGCGTGCTCTTCGCCCAAACAAACAACGCATAGATCATGTGTGTCATCGGGTGTCAAATAGCAATGACACGGATGCACACATCTTCTAAACGCTTTGCTAGTGCTTTCCATAATGAATGATTAGAGATCGCTCTTACCACGGAAATGCACGCTTCAAACAAAACAGTCGGTGAGGAGGATGTGTTCTCCCGGTGCCTATTTATACTATAGTCGCACTGGTAGCAATGACACGGATGCACACATCTTCTAAACGCTTTGCTAGTGCTTTCCATAATGAATGATTAGAGATCGCTCTTACCACGGAAATGCACGCTTCAAACAAAACAGTCGGTGAGGAGGATGTGTTCTCCCGGTGCCTATTTATACTATAGTCGCACTGGTAGTGACGTCATGGCTGTCACGGGCCAACATGTTGTGGGTGTTTTTTTCAATGTATGCTTCAGACACGGGTCATGATGAGGCATTCCCCATAGCGACCCTTAGAGGACGCAGTTCGAAGTTCCCATGAAAGGGAACCATGTTTAAACCATATAGCCTATTGCCTCATAGTTTTTATATAATACATTTTAAGGCATGGAATCTAGAATATTAAGTCAGATGCGTTGGTGGTGGTGGTGAAATTATTACCGACATTAAAACACGTCAACAGTCAAAAAAGTTTCACAGGGTTATGAACGTAGTTACCCGAAGTGATGCACGGGCTTCATCTCGGGCTTTTTTTATTTGACTTTTCTCTGCGCCAGACTGCGCTGATGTCTTTTCCCTTATGATGATCATTTGTATTCAGCCGCATACATGAGGGGAGAGCGAGCGCGGGTGCAGATGCGGGAATGGCGCGTCACATGTGCTTACTGCGTTCATCTTAAAATGCATTTTTTGTATTTAATATATATATATATATATATATATATGTATGTATGTATGTATTTTCATGTTTAGATTTTTATTTGTGTATGTATGTTAATATTAATATAAAATGCACAGATTTACATTATTATAATTTTTTTTGAGCAACTGGGATTGTGCCCCCCTGGGATTTGGTGCCCTACGCAAACTGCGTAAGGGAGCGGTGGTACTGCTTCTGGCAGAGGGACACTTCAACCTTCAGCAAAGGACAGACCAAACCCAGTAACCTGGTTCTGAAGAGGGCCCCCACCATTTGAACCCTAAGTATCATATGTGCATGCAGGTAAGACTACCGAGAGTAGAGAGAGAGAACACAGAAGGAAGGAGGGAAAAGCAGAAGGGGAGAGAAAGGGAGGGTAAGAGCGAGCACAGACAGGCAAACTCATAAAAATATTCTGGCAGTCCATCAACATTTTTCTAATTCCACTTAAACTCAGCACATTTAACAGTTCTAGTCATCAAGGCACTTACAAGCATATTGGGCTTCAATGTTTGCTCAAACTGATAAAGAGCCTGCCGGAATCAAGGAAAGATTAAGGGAGCAACTTAGTTTAGCAGAAAAAGGAGAATGTGAGAGACCGATTAAATCATCCTGATCCTGACCTCATTCTGATACAGCATGGAATGAAGAGATTACGATGTGGTTTAGATTTATCAAAAGATTTGTTTTGTCTATTTGTATAACATTACTGATAATGTTGTTGTTTTAGCTGACTCGAGTTACTGCATAGGTCTATAGTAGTGATATAGACTGTAAAAGATCATTTGTTAGATTATCTTGACTCTTCCATGGGATACATTACTATCACAGGCTAAAACTAAAAGGTTAGCAACAAATTAGATGAGATGAAAAAATTGGACCACATCTAAGGCCTCCTGACATTAAAAGCCTGATAGCAGTAGTAAGTCCTCAACACAGCAGAAGTCCAGGTGACATTAGGGGTTAGTTCTTAGAAGGTAAATGTTTGATAAAGGTCGATTGATGCTGATTGATAAAGGCTTACTGAGTATGTCTATGCTTAGTAATTAGGCAAGGGAAGTAGCGAATACTCTGTATGATTTTTGTCTTGGTTCACAATTTGGTAAAATTAAGCCACCAGTTGAATTTGCTCATCCTCCTTGTTGGTCCCCCTAGGGGACTCTTCTGCCCCTGCCAGGGTTAGAGGCACACCTGGTGTGAACTCAGGATGTTCCTCCTTTCAACAACGTTAAGGGAACACCGAAGCCATGTATCTCGCTCTGTCACTCGAACAGTCCAGATTAGCGGAGTAAACCATCCTTGATATCAGAATAACTACTTCTACCTGTGAAAGAAGATCTTAAAATGCTTTTGTTAGAGACAGCACATGTTTACTCATCACCCAGTCGATCCTTACTGCAGTGACCTGTGAAGACTAAATTCATGTGGACTGAGGGCTGTCCATTTTCCACCAGTAGATTGACTGGGCTGGAATCCATATCATTCCAATTTCAGTCAATATCATTTATAATTTCATTTTCATTTTCCCCCTGTATACCACGCCTAGGTGGTGTATACTAAATTTCAATTCAGCTCAATTATTTATTTGTTGCTTAAAGGTGTCTGACTATTCATCAAATAATTTCTTAAACATGACCTTTTATTCAGGTTTTTCACCCATTAATATCAATTTTTCTGGGAAACACTCAGCCCACCTTTAACGTGTTAACAAGCACAATGTGTTTCATACATTTGACACAGAATCAGTTTGATGAAGTCCATCATGTCATCCTGAAAGGGAAAAAGTGAAGTGTGGGGTGGACAGGGCAAGCCTTCTTGCTCTGCCTTCCCATGTTTTACCCTGCGCAGGTGTGGCACTTTTTCTTTCTGCCACAAAAATATCCCAGGCCAGGATAATTAGCCAAATTAATCCACAGCCATTATTTTCTCTGGCATAATCTACCTTTTGTGCCCGCTTAGAAAATTTGGAAACAGCTGTTCATGGCAGTTTGTCTGCCTTGGCCACACTCCCACACCCACCTCTGATTACCTCGTTGACTGGGAGGGATACAACCCAGAGAAGTGCTCCTAGAGGGCTCGGACAACATTCAGGATCCGGCCCTGCTATCCTTCTTCAAAGATAACCACCCAACTAAACCAGCACTGTGTGGCTGGGGCTGGCCCTGACTTTAGACACATTGGTCCACAGGAGCAGCCAGTGGAGAGATATACGGTCACACCCACACCTTACTCTCTTTCCCTCAACACACACCACTTACAGTCTTCAGAATTCTAATCATCACCACCTATTTCCAATCACCTGACATTTAAGAAACTATTTAAACCCGACTCCCTCACTCAGTCAGCGTGAGATCTCATCTATACCTAAACATACAGAATCTACTGTATCATTGGATATTGTGTTTGTATAATCTTATCTGCCAATAAACACTGTTGAGTTCACTCTGTCCATCTCTCGGTGTCAGGTGGTTTTGAAATAACAATACATATATGGTAATGGATGCGAGGATGCAATAATCGTCTGGAAAGGACCCCCAGGCAACATTTGTTTTGTCTTCATTTTAGGAAAGAAAATACAAAAAAGAAAAAAATGTTGCCTGGTATACTATTATGGGCATATTCATTATGCAATTACAAATCAGCATTGAAAATACTATTTCTGTTTGCAGGCCATTGGAACGAACTGTTACTCTTCACAAGGACATGAACGGGCAGCTCGGCTTTCTTTTTAAAAAGGGTCGAATCACTTCAATAGTAAAAGACAGCTCAGCTGCACGTAATGGCCTCCTTACTGATCATCAGATCTGTGAGATCAATGGTCAGAATATAATTGGACTGAAGGTAAATTACATCAGTATTTTGCATTTGTTGGTTTTCCTTCTTTCTTTTTGCTCTGTCTCTCTCTCTTAATTAACAATATGGCCCTTTAAAGCACAAGCAGGTGACTCATAAAAGATTTTATTTCAATTTAAGCTACTGTATTTTCATCTCTTTTATTAGGACTCCCAAATCACAGACATCCTTAATTCCAGCGGAGGTGTTGTCACGGTAACTGTGATGCCAGAGGTTATTTTTGAACACGTGATGAAAAGGTATGGAAAATAAACTATGGGTGGACAAAACCCAATGCCAATCAACAGTCTATTCATGTAACTTTACCAAAAGTATCTTATTTTTCCTTCTTTTATTGCCTCTCACAAAAGTGTTCTTAACATCCTCTGTCTTACTGCAGGATGTCCAGCAGTATTGTAAAGTCACTAATGGATCATTCTATTCCTGAGGTGTGAGATCGTTCGGATCAAACTGCACAGCTGAGGATGATTTGGCCACAGCTTGGAGAGCTGGCATTTTGTCTGGAGCACAAGTTCAGTTGTTCTGTAATCATTTACTTAACTTTGTTTTAAACCCATATGCCTTTCTGATGCATCACACAAAAGAAAGTTAGGCCATATGCAGAATGTTCACGCTGCTCTTTTCCTTAAACTGAAAGTAGGGTTGGATGCTTTTGAACTTAAAAAAATACAGAAAACCATGAAAGTAAAGTAATTAATACAACTTATTGTGCTATATTCTAACTCGTATGAAGCCAAATGTAGTGTGGAACTCATCGAAATTAAAGTCATTATGCACTGATAATAAAATTCACAAAGCTTCTCCTCTGCCATAGCTGTCAAATGGCATTCACACTTTTGCATATTAAAACTGGTTCATCACGATCAATCATGACACGCAATGACCAATGTTGTTTGGCATCATTAATGTGTGTGACGTGTCTTCACACTTCATAATTTTATATACATAAACACAAATAAAGAGCTGCAGTAGTGAAGATTTTCAGTAAATAACAATTTAAACATCAGTATGTTTATTGTATAACTTTAGAAGACTTACAGCACACAAGTCATATGGACTATTTTTATGACATAGTGCTTTTTTGACTTTAAGTACTCTGTCTTCATTCGTGTCCTCATATTATTCTGTAGTGTGAATATTCTGCTTAACATCTCCTTAGGTTTAGAATAAGGTTTGAAACAATATGAAGATGGGTAAATGTTGACAAATTTTTATTTTTGGGTGATGCCTTTAATTCTTATCCTTCATCTTTAGATAGTTTTTGTTAAGCCATAAGCTTATTTCAATGTCTCATCATCTCGCAAAAAAGCATTCTGAATTATTATCAACATACATTACAGCATGCTGATGCTGTAAATCAGTTATAATAATGTTGTTAAAATTACATTCTAAAAGCCATTAAAAACAAAACAAAAAACTATGCACTGTTGAAGATAGTTTTGTATAAAAAAAGGTACAGAATTCAGAGATTAATTATATGACAACTTTGTTTAAGAGCTGTAATTGCAGTACAGTTTTATGCCCCTGTATTCTTCTTGTTGTTTTTCTTCATATTGTTTATGTTTGTGTGGCCTGTGTGGTTTAGTATTTAAAACAGTAGTTTTCTTTCCTCAACAAATTTTTTTTTTTTCTTTTCTTAATGTCTCTGCAGACAGGACTACACCTGTTCGGCACATTGTTTTGCTATCTTGCTATACATGTTCAGCTAAAGACAGTGTCAGGCTGTGAATTATCACTGAAAAATCTATTATTTTCACTGGTTCCAAATTATAAAATTATACATTTTATTTTTAGCAACATATTTTTGTCTCCAAAAATGTAAAAAAAATAATAATAATTGTATAAGATAATTAGATTTATAAATTGCTATAGTAATTATGATAGTAATAGTAATTATACATTTTACTATTTTAATATAACTCCAACACAGCTATAAAGTCATACTTATGTAGCTAAACAGTGGCATACAGTCCAAAGCATTACTTATTTGTTGATACTTATACAATCTCTTAACTGTCTTTCATGAAACTTCTAGCAATCCTGACAAAATATAAATTAGCCAGCTAGATAATGTTGCCATGGTCATATATTTAAATTAGTTTTGGATGAATAAAAGAAAACTAATTTGTTTAAGTTTCCAAGGAATAAAATCACATGTACATGACCACTACTGGGCAAGTGGCATTTCCACAACTGACCCAATTGTTTCATCAGGCATTCATTACACTATGGGTCTTCAACCTTGCTCCTGGAGAGCAATCTTCTTGAAAATTACAGACCAAAAAAATTGTAGAATAAAGCATTATGCTTTCCTTTTTGTTGTAAATTAATCATACTGCTAAACTGCATAAATGTAAACCAATGATAGACCACACACTGTTGTATGTAGGCTACTGCATTAATAGAAGGCCAGTTAAACATAGATTTGTTGCAAGTATTCTTCAAATTATAATTTTAATAGTATTTTCGTTTCATATCCATGCGCACTAATTAGACTTATTAAACGTCTAATTCAAGCGATCATGCTGTCGTTGCCACATTCAACTTGTGTTTACACGGTGTTTCCAGTCGCTCTGCTGGTTTTGTTACTGGTTTTATCGGTTTGGCTTTTAGAAGAAGAATAGAAAATTTCCTGAATAAAAACGATAGAGTTTCGAGAGAAGAAGGTAAAAAGCAATACAAAACCAATAATTTACCGGTTATGTTGTCATTGCTTTGCTCTCTAACTGAATGCAATGTTATAATAGGCCTAGTTATTTAATAATAACTTTAACAGTGAAGCATGCATCTAACTCTGGGGGAAAAAGCTTAGTATAATAAAATCACCTAAATAAGTCTGTGAATGAATGAATGAAATATGTTAAGAATGAATAGTACACAAACACATTTCCAAAACTGTAAAAGGTTATTTAAAAATAAAGCATTCATGAATTTTACTGTATAAATAACATTTTACTGTCTTAAGTGCACTCATTTATTTAAGCCTATAAATTTAAATAATAATAATAGCTATTATTATTATTATTATTATTATTATTATTATACATTTAGGTTACATATGCATTTAGAAGAAGGTTTTATCCAAAACGACTTACAAAAGAGGAACAAATGACTCCAAAGTCAGTCACAATGCCAGGTTTATTATACAATAATAATCAAGTGCTAAGATTATCACAAATTAAACAAGATTTTGAAATCCGTGGGCACGATTTGTTAAACCGAGGGAACAGTTTAAGAATTCGTCAGTACAGTTTATAAACTGAGGGGACGGATTGCAAAACCATCGCCACGGATTGCTTTTTTTTCTCCTACAGGTGACTTCCCGGGCTCCGTAGAAAAATAATATGACTCAAGTAAGAGTAAAAAAAGTAGTTTGCTGAAAAAATACTCAAGTTACTGCGTTATAAAGTACTTTAGTATTATTTTTCTATTTTTACCCAAAATGAGACAATGTGAGCATTATGGAGCAGGGTTAACCCTAACCCTAACACTCATGTACTTTAATGTCTGTTTCACAAGTAAGACCCAGGAAATCCCTTATATGGACAAATGCATCAGATATCACTACAGCTGAATAACATGCAGATAGAGATGCTTTGACTGATGAAATGTGGAAGACAATAAACACTCAATTGCAATGCATTGCTAATTAACAGCTTGTATCACAGTAAAGATTTTTATAAATAATATTTTCTGTCTCACTGTGATAAGAAGCAACACGGAACCACAGAAGCTAACTGTTTCAAACACGACTGATGTTATATAGTGATTTTGGAGCAAAACATGATATTAGTCTCATAAATTATCATGTTTGATGCTATGTTAAGCAAACATACTACCTATCCCTGTTGCCAGGAGCAACTGTTTTATAACTAATTTTGAAAAGTACATTCACGTATAAGATTACGTGGTTGTTTTTAAGAAGGGCAAACGCAAAGAAGGGTAAGTGAGGGTTTAAAACAGTGTGAATTGAAATGTGCCAGTAAAAAATAATGTGGGGTATGGGTAAGGTTGGGCATCGTTTGAATTTTTATGATTCCGATTCTTGTCAATTCCTAATTTTGATTCCAATAAGGTAAAAATAATAATAATATAAAAAATCTTAGACATCATTCATGTTTATTCTAACTCTTACTGCAAAATATTTCCTTGTTAGCTGAATACTATGAATGAAAATCAACAGGCTAAAGAACACTTACAAGGATGTGTGTCCAGCAGAGAAGACAGCCTGTGAGTCTTCTTGATCTGAATAGTTAAAAATTACATTGAAAGTGTAGTTTGTAATAATAACAAAGGTGGACTCCAGGCACATTTTCGGTAGGACAAAAAAAGCATTTTATTTGACATTTTAACCCATACCTAGGCTTGGGAATCCAAAATCTATTCCAATTCTGGAATAGGATGCTTAAGGTCAGAAATCGTCTAGTTGTTATAAAATTAAAATTACATTCCTCTTATCAATTCCTTTGTGTGCATTTTAATATGACTTCAAACCATTCTAGCACAAGAAGACTTGTGCTCTGTTTTCTGTACTGCAAACATAGGGGCGTTTTATGTATTTTAATTGGATAAGAAATCTAATATACTGCTGGATGATAACCAATAATTTGTATTCTATAATATTTTTTATGTATTTTCCTAATGACAATTTTAGAATTGGTTACAAACACATAATAAAGCAGAATAGTTTCTATACTTTAATAAATGTTATGTCAATTAGCACTGGATTATTCATATACTATATTTATTACCTCGAAATGACCTGAAATTAATTTTTTTAGCTACAGCGATGGGATTCCTTTGTCCATATTAGGGATTTCCTGCATGTCATAAGTTATTACTTCAATGAGTCTGTTTTGGACTTTCTGCGCGAGAGCGCCCTCCGGCTTCGAGTATGAATGGAACATGCACTGCATGAGAGTGTTTAGCGCTCCGTAATGTTCACATTGTCTCATTTTGGATATGAATAAATTGTCCGGTCATTCATAGACTATCTTGTTTCTTCGCCCATGTGCTCACACATCCAAAGCATGCACACAGAAAAAGTGATTTTAAATGCATCTGATTGACAGATAAATCATGGTTGATCTATCAGCCAGATGTACGTAAAATGCATGCACTCTTATTTCAATGTTGTTGTTAATGTTGAGGTTATTTTAGCTTCGTACATTTAGTTTAACTGGACTGTTAAAGAGGGCGATTTTTACCATTCAACTGAACTATGTGCATGTATTTTAGACACTGTTCTTGCTCCATCCATGCAATTACTGCGTCCTTTTATCAACCGAGTTTCTATTTACTTATACTGCTGTGTAATATTGACGGTATGACCCATTTCAAGAGCTGACAAAATTATGATCAGAGCATAGCTCACATTCACTAAAATACCGAAACGCTAATGATGCTGATTCAAAACGACAACGCAGGTGATTGACAGTCAAAGCAAAGCTCGGTTTGAACGGCCCACCCCCGCAGCTGAACTGGAAGTTTTTATTGGTTTTGCACCCGAATCAGACCTGTCTGTTATTGGCTGAAGCGCATGGCTCCACCCCAGCAGTTTAAAAAGTGCCCGTCAAATGCCAGCTCACTGTTTCTCCATCGGCGCCTTCTTTGTCCAATTTTTATATTTTGCACTTTGTACTTTTGGTGAAAAATAAATGTAGCGAAGTTGAATACTTTAGTTTTATTCTACTCAAGTAAAAGTAAAAGTACCACATTTTAATTATACTCAAGAAAGTAGAAATGTAAAAATGTACTCAAGTACTGTAACGAAAGTATTACTACCAGGGCATTTGCATGGTACTCCAAGGTACTTCTGTTGTAGCTACTACTTAATTCATATCCATTATACCATGGCCTTTTTAAAATACTTTTTGACAATGTTTGTTAGTTACAAAGACATTATTAATAACGAGCCTAAAATTTCTTTAAAGTTCTGCAGTGATTTTCAGAGATTTAAACGTAAACATAAAGTAAGATCTTAGCAGACCTCTGACAAAATAGTCAGAGGTGGAAGTCAGCTCCAAGTGGACA